CATTTAAAGGTAATCAAACTATCAGGAAACTTCGCACACACACACTTTAAGTATGGTAGATACTTGTACGTTACTTTCAAATTCGATAACACTACACATCTTTCACATTAGGAAAATATAGGATTTTCCTGGGTAATCAGAATTTGTAACTAGAACAATGTAACATAACAAAAAAACTAAAATTTACTTTTAAAAAAATATGGAATTTTCTTGGGTCGTAACATTCTCAGAAACCAAAAGGAATCTTGTACATTTTCATAAAAACAAACCGCTTATGAACTCACTAGCTTTATGCTGATATTTAAAATGCTTGTATTCTTAGGTTCTACTTAGAAAGATACCCCGCGTCCTTTTGCAGAAGACGTAGCGAATGGAAGTCACGTCTTTCTTTTGTTTAAACTATATATCTTTGAAACTTGTACTACTTTACTTTTCAACTGATGTAATGAAAATCTATGTAATGTATTGTTTTGTGCTTTAGTTCGCTTACTATGTACATTGGTTATGATATTCACATGAAGTCACCACTGCCCCAAGACGTTTCCGCCTTTGGTTTCGGGGTGTGACATTTTCTCCGACGTTCCTAATATCATATGCAAAATGTAGGTCATCTCCAAGCTAATCTTTTAATAATTAGAAATCGTTATCAGGTGCAATACGGTCTCACCCTTTAACTCTTATTAAACATCCACTATTTAAAGCATTTCCTTATTACTAATACCTACTTTGATACACTTAGAAACTCATTTTGACATGATTAATTGAAAATTTTGAATTCCAAATATATCTAAAATGTATTTTTGTGGTTGGGAGAATGTTGTACCACAGTGACTATCGATCGGTGTTTTAAAATTTAGCATTAGCTGCCACTAAGGCGTTTGATGGGATCTTGTTATCTATGATTTGTGCTAATTGTTATTTTTAATTATAGTCTATCTTTGCCGATCCAAGATGCACTAAAAATCAATCGATCAAACTTTTCAAAATAAGTTCTTAATTATTCAAGCTTATAATAATTGTTAGTAACTAAAATTATTAAAAATGTTATCTATTAGTAAAAAAAAAATTGATTTATAATTACTTAAATATTTAAACTCTTGTTAGTCCCTTGACAGCAACTGACCACCCGACTACTGCCTTAGGACTTTTGTAACCTTTTTTTGTATGATCATATCGTGTATCGATATGTTCATTTAACCGATGCCAATCAACTTTTTGGTTTTATTAAGTCCCATCAAGATCTTGTACATATTAACCCTTTTATAAGATGAAAAACCATTGCTATGTTAGGTGCATACAAAAAGAGTACTGTCACACCCCGAAAACCAGAGGCGGAAACGTCTCCGGGGTTGACTACCACGTTGTGTATCAAATCCAATGTACATAGTATTCACAGTAAACAAACATTACATTACATAAATATGAAAGTTTACATGTGTTTCAAAAGTAAAGTTATACAAATATACATATGCATCATATAAACAAAAGTTGAGACGAGTCTTCTATGTACTCCATCTTCGTCAAAGAGATCACCGGGTACCTGTCTATCTTGGACCTGAGAATACAAGCGGTTTGAAAATCAGCATAAAGCTGGTGAGTTCATAAGCGGTTTTGTTTGTGGAAATGTATCGGTTTCCTTTAGTTTCCGAAAAGATTTGTTATCCAAGAAAATCCCATATTTTCTTATGTGAAGTCGTTTAAGTTATCGTTTGTTAACAATTCGGTTATGTATTGTAATTACCCCAGGAAAATCCCATATTTTCCTAACTGTAAGATCAATAGTATATCATAAAGTATAGTTTAGCACACAAAACTATATAATGAAGATCTTGGGATCACTATCCCGAAAGACATATAAGTTAGTTTGAGATATTCGAAAGTACGGTTCAAGATCATGGGACTATCATCCCGAACTAACACGAGATAAGTTAATGTACATATGTAAGTATGGATTTGAAACCATGGGATCACTATCCCGAATAAGATACAAGTTTTAGAAACCATGGGATCACTATCCCGTATAAGATATAGATTTAGAAAACCTTGGGATCACTATCCCGAATAGTTCATAGATTTAGAAAACCATGGGATCACTATCCCGTATAGATATAGTTTTAGAAACCATGGGATCATTATCCCGTATAGATATATAAA